TGCAATGTCAGCGAAACGGGGGGCCCGTCAGTGGGTTCCTGGAGCGGGCAGGGCAGCTGGGGACACTCGCGACACTCGGGGGCCCCTCTCTGCCAGCTGACCAAGTCCCACCGGACGTGTGGCCCCGACACACCGCCAGGCTTCCGTTTCTGGGTTCATGGCAGCCGGTTGTCGTGTATGTAACTCTGTTCTCCAAAACCCGTTGTGGGGAGCGTGACCACTGTGACTCGGGCTCGGCCCGGGCCTGTGCACGTCCCTGGAGGAGGTGGCCGGGGTGACGTCGGGCCCTCTGGTCCGCGCTGCCATCTCTGTCCCCACCCCGAGTCAGCCGTCTCCTGTGAGCACGGTCCTGCCCCAGGAGGGTGCGGCGGCGCAGGCCTGGCTGTCCCCTCGGGGGGCTGTCCCCACCAGAGGGGCTGACAACCTTCTGCCCCTCCCGCCCGGCCTCTGTCAGGAACAAGGCCCTGGTCGAGGTGGAGAAGCCTGGCACTAACCAGGGGAGTCGGAGAGAGGCCTGGGTTCCAGAGGGTGTCCAGCTGGGGAAGGAGGTGGGGGCGGGGGGCAGGCAGCTGCACAGCAACGCAGGGCCCTCCCCCAGGGCGGCCTTCCCCGTGCCCCTGAGAAGTCCTGACACGCTAAGGCATATGCTTGCGCCTCGTTTTCCGGAGAAGTAGCAGTTCTCACTGACTGGCGAGTGGGGGGCCTTTGCAAGGTGATTCGGGGGCCGCCGCTCTGTTGCCTAGCAACGTGCTGTCCTGCGGCCTTAGTGGCCTGTGCCAGGGGACAGCAGGCAGGTCCCAGGCAGAGAACACCTGTCCAGGCCAGACCCAGGACACCCGCCCGGCCGTGGGGCCCCCATGGGTGCACCATCACCGTGGGGCACAGCCCCTGGAGGGAAGGTGCCAGCTAGGGAGGGTGCCACTGTGCTGTGGGGACCTCCAGGCGCCCGGCACTGCTGTGTGTGCGCGCGGGGTGCTAACAGCGGCTCTGAGGCTATTCCCGCCGGCCGGTTCACGATGCACTCGCGACTCCTGGGCTGAGGACCAGGACGTGTCAGCGACAATTTCGCACTGGCCTGCCTGGCCACGTTGGGTGACAGCACCTGGCATAAGCCTGTCAGAGCCTAACTCAGTGAGTGGCATGTGCGTGGCCAGAAGCAGAAACGGAATCCTGTTCACAAGCAGTTTCGACCCCAGGTCACCCGGGACGGATGGGGGTCGGGTCCGTCACTCCCCCCGCCCGGCAAAGGCTCAGACCGTCCCACAGTGGGGCTGTCACGTGGCGCCCGCCCCGTGGGGGGCTCAGCTGCATGACATCAGCGGGGTCCCCAGTGGGGGAGCCGCCAGGCTGAGCCCCATACTCAGAGGGGGTGCAGTCCTGACACTTCAGATGTAACCTGCCCAACTTTCCCGAAGAAGAGGAAAAACGTTCCTCCCTCTGCAGTGACAGGCGCGGCCATCTGTAATTAGCGAGCCCCACTTCCCAGCTTCCCCCGTAATCTGCGGCCGGCAGCCGCGCTTCCTCGGGCCTGGCTTAGGACAGTCGTCCTGCCCCTGCCCGTGGGGCCCGGCCTGGCTGGCCTCACCGTCGCGGTGCCCGAGGAGGACAGCGAAGCGTCACTGGTCTGTCCAGAACGCCAGCGCCAGCGGCGTCCTCGGCCCCACCGGGCGGAATTGGTTCCCTGAGGTCACTGCCGCCATCACCGCTGAACTGGGGGAAACTGGGATCTGACCCCCGAGCTGTGAGCGGCCGCGGCGTCTCGTGTCACCGCACGGGCTGCGTCCGAGGACGCCGTGTCACCCGGGGCCGTTCCGTCTTCTTTGTCACGTTCCTGCTGCTGCAGGGCCTGTGTCCTCCGGGACAGGGCGGTGCCCGTTCGAGGCCTCCCCCCGACTGCGCTGTCCGGACTCGGGGACACGCGCGGCACACACACCCCGCTGACGTGTGAGACGCTCTGCAGAGGGAGCCGCTGCCGCCCCGGGTCCAGCTCCTAAAGGTTTTCCGGGGAGGGGTTTCTCGAGAAAGGACGGGGCAGCTTTGTCCCAAGTGGCCTGTGAGACACCTGCAGGGAGACGGTGCCGTCTGAAAATGGGCCGGGCGCCCCGTCCGCCACCTCGCTTCCAGACGTGTCAGGCGTGCCCGGTCCGAGTTGGGACCACTTCTCAAAGCCACCAAGTCGTCCCAAAGCCACGAGCATCAAGCGCCCTTCTGCCCCAGGGACAGCCCGCCAGCCGCCCATCAGCCCCAGAGGGAGTTCCGGGGCCTGCGGTGGGCAGTGACCCTCCGTTGCAGGTGGTCTCAGCGAGCGACGGGCGCCCCGCCATCTGCCAAGCCCGGCCTAGGGCGCCCTTGCCGGCTGGTAGCGGAGACCAGAGGCGGGTGACTCCCGGCGTCTGGGCAGGTGGACTGCGGTTCCCGTGTCGGTCAGACACCACCCATCAGCCCCAGAGGGAGTTCCGGGGCCTGTGGTGGGCAGTGTCCCTCCGTTGCAGGTGGTCTCAGCGAGCGACGGGCGCCCCGCCATCTGCCAAGCCCGGCCTAGGGCGCCCTTGCCGGCTGGTAGCGGAGACCAGAGGCGGGTGACTCCCGGCGTCTGGGCAGGTGGACTGCGGTTCCCGTGTCGGTCAGACACCGCAGAGGCCCCGGGCTGTGTGCCTTCCCGCCCCCTGTTCAAGCATACAAGTGTTTTCAGACCACTGTGGGCTTAGGGCTGCATGATTTAAAGGGAAAACATGCAGAGTTTGGGGCTTAGACCTTGCGAAGCTGCCTTCTTGCAGGCCCTGAGACCCGCCGTGCTATCAGACAGATCCGGCGCCTACGCGCACTTGTGTGACCGGACGGGTCAGCTTCTCCGTCCGTCCGTGGGGCCGTTTTTGGATTGCGTGGGGACTCGCTGAGATGCGGGGCCTGGTCCAGCGTGGGTGCCGTGGAGGGAAGCCACGCTTCTGTCCGTGCTATGACTGGGGTGACATGTCAGGTCCGACGGGGCTCGGCGTCCTGGCCTCCCGCTGGTGCTGGCCTTGTCCCAAGCCACGGAGCAGCCCTGACGCTTGTCCAGGAGGAAGACCCTCCTCGGGCCCTTCCAGAGCCTGGCTCACGTGAGCGGGCATGAAGCGTGCTTGACGGCAGACAGGTGTGGAAGGGAGGGAGAGGCAGGAGTGTTCCGGAAGGGACCTGTGACCGTGGCAGGCGTGCATTTCAGGCGCGTGCCACCAAAAGTCGCAGTTTCAGAAACGGAAGTGGCGGTGCAGACGCCGCGCCCCACGCAGCACCGCTGCCCCAGCCGAGCCCACGGGGCGCGGCCTGGGCTTTCGAGGTCCTCCACTCTGCGCACGCCTGCGAGCTGACGGCCTTTCACAGACGCCTCTGTGCGGCCAGAGCCGCACGCATCCGTGTTCCCACGGGTCCTCCCGCCGGGACTGTCTGGGGGCCATGGCGGCGTCTCCTCTGGGCTCCGATGCTGCCTTAAGACCTCAAGGCAGACGGGGAGCGACCTCGTTTGCGACGAGCTCTGTAAACAGAATGTGGTTAAGATAAACTGAACACAGCTGGCATCCTGCCCCGTGTCACCTCCCTCCGCCCGTGCCGGGGCCAGTCCGGGACCACTGGTCTCTCCGTCACACCAGAGCCCGTCCAGCTCACTCTCGGAGCATCCCTGCCCTGCTCCGTGGCGAAACGGGGACGTAGCTTCTGGGATCCGTCTCTGGGAGAGGACAGGCTCTTCCAGGTCCCTTCATGCCTCTCTCCCTGGGGACTGACCGATGGTCACGGCGAGGAGTGAAGGCTCGGGAGGGCTACAGTGTGGAAGGTCAAGGTTGAGCCCTTGGCAAAGGATAAGTGGATAAGTGGTCCCATCGGTCAGGCATCAAGGCCATCTGTCCGCAGCCAAGAGGCCGGATGTGGCCGTGAGCCAACAGGATGGCATGGGATCGAGTGTCCTCCTGTGCCTTGTCTCAGAGCCAGGGGACCTTGTCTCAGCTGGAGAAGCAGCCTTGAAGAGCGCCCGGCCTTGATGGCGTCGGGGTGCCTGGGAAGACGGTCTCCGCAGCCCCACAGGGCGCTCCCTAGTGGCTCAGTGTTGTCTTGCATTTACTTTTGAGGACAGAGTTATGTCATCGGTCGTCATTGGTCCTCCAGCAACCAAGCCGTACTGTGCCCATAATTGGTTTGGTGGATCTTGAATTGAGGAATACGTGACAATAGTGGCTTAAAATGGATGAGAGTGTCTCTGGGGCAGCCGATGGCCCGGAGCCCCTGGCAGCTCGCCACGCGATCAACAGACGCACGCAGTTCTCGATGCTTCTCTCCTAAGCTCAGGAGTCGGGTAGATGTGGGCGGCTCAGGCTGTGAGACCCAAGGTCACTGTCTGATGAGGAGATGGTGGAAGGTTCTCCTCTCCGTCTCTGTGAACTTGACTGTTTAGGTGCCTCGCACAGATGACTGGCTCGTTTCACTCAGTGTCATGTCCTCAAGGTTCGTCCATGCTGTAGCCTGTGTCAGAATCTCCTTCCTTTTCGTGGCTGAATAATATTCCATCGTGTGGCTGGACCACGCTTTACTTACCCGTTCATCTGTTATTGGGCGTTTGGGTTATTTCCACCTTTTGTCTGTTGTACGTCCTTCTGCCGTGAACCTGGGTGTGCAGGTAGCTGTTTGAATCCCTGCTTTTGGGGTACACACGCGGAAGTGGGCATCCTAACTGTCTTGGGTGCGCGGTTCGGTAGCACTTAATCTGTTCACAGCGCCTGCAGCCATCAGCCCTGCCTAGGTCCGGGCGCCCTAGTCGCCTCAGCCGGACACCAGGGTCCCCTCCCCAGTGCCAGCAACGCCACGTCTACCCCGTCCCCGGGGTTTTGCCTCTAGTGGGTGCTGCATACAGACGGAGTGGCACAGGCCTGTGGCCTGCACGGGTGTTCTGCTGAGGGCGCTCTACTGGACGTTGTCATTGGGAGCCCTGTACCCGGCGCCCCGGCCAGCGGCTCACAGTGCTGTCCCCCCAGGGAGGAGCGGCGGTACGTGAGCCGGTTCTGGAAGGAAATCCGCGTGGGAGACTTCGTGCGTCTCCGCTGCAACGAGATCGTCCCCGCTGACATCCTGCTGCTCTCGTCCAGCGACCCCGACGGCCTCTGCCACATCGAGACCGCCAACCTGGACGGGGAGACCAACCTGAAGCGCCGGCAGGTGGCCCGCGGCTTCTCGGAGCTCGTAAGTGACCGGGGCTCCCGGGGTGTCCCAGGCGCCATGTGCACACAGCACTGGCATGCGGCCTCGTTGTCCCCTCAGGCCAGGCTGGTCCTTGTGGGTGGGCAGGGCTGAGGTCCCAGGGGGCCCTGCCCTGGGCCGTGGGGAGCAGGACGCAGGTTCTATGACTCTGATCACCACTGTGCACGTCCGAGCTTCTCAGACCAGTGTCTGGGTACAGGCGCCAGGGCCACTGGAACCGCTGACTGTGGCTGTGTGCCAGGAAGTCGCTGAACGGTGACGCGGCAGAAGTGACAGCCTGGTCCCTCAGGCATGGCTCTGAGGCTGAGCTCCGTGCTCGAGGCTCCTCGGCCCGGCCTGCAGGTGCACCCCGAGATAGTGAGGGGGCTGGGCTCACTGTCCACACTCCCAGCGGCCTTCACGGGAAGAGTCGAACCACGTCCGGGCGTCTGTCTCTGTGGGGGTGCCGGGGTACAGGGGAGCGAACCCAGGTGAAATGTCAGTGCCACGAGTCCCCCGGGACCAGGGAGGGTCAGGAAGGGGCCGAGCTGGCCCTCACCCGTTCTCCCCGCACCTGCTCTGTCCTGCCTCTGTCACCTGGGGTCCTGCCCCCCGCCGCACTCTTTATGGGGCGCCTAGGCGGTGAGACCCCGCGGCTCGGGCGCTGACCCGGAGTGCCCTCCTCGGTTCCGACCGTGCGCCGGTCCGCGCTCCCGCTGTGGCCTTTCTGCCCGTGCCTCGCGCCCCTTCGTCCGTGCGCCCGGGTGGGGACCAGGCCCAGGCTGGCGTCCCTGGAGCTTGTTTTGAAGCTCGCGGTGTCACCGGGGCACTGCTGGCATCGGGGCCCCCGGGGGTCTTCGGGCAGCACCTCTGCGCCCCGGTCAGTGCCCATGCCACCTGCCCGTGGGCACCGTGACAGCCTCAGGGGCCTCTGCCGGCTTCCAGAGCGTGTCCCACACACATCCATGTCACCCCCCTCAGGGCCCATCAGTGCTTGGGGACATAAATGGACTTGGGCTACGATTTAGTCAATTGGCCAAAATTAATAACCGAAGCAATTCCGATGAAAAAAAAAAGATCAGCACCTAAATTTTTCAAAATGCACGCGCACTGGTCCCTGTTATTGGGGTATTATTATTATTATTATTTTTTTTTTTTTTTAGTTTCTTTTTTCAAAGTTCTGCTTTCCACCTAACATGATAGCTGGTTATATTGTAATAACTTCGGTTTTATTCCTGGCGCATCTTCACATGTTATCATTCTGAAATATATTATAATCGTCATTACCAGTATTAAGCACGTGAACGCCCACGGACAGTAAAGCCGGGAGGCCCCTGGCCTCTGCCAGCCCAGCAGCTGCAAACCGGGTTCTGGCCGCAGCGTCACAGCCCGGCGGGTTCGGCCTCTGTGTTTAAGGGGGTTTTCCCGGGACGGAGCGAGCCAGCGTCTCAGGCGGCGCAGGAGGGGCTCCTGTCGCGCACGGGGCCCTGCGCGGCCCCATGATGAGGGTTGGTCGGACCTGGCGGCTCCGGGGAATCTGACGCTGGCAGCGAGGTGAGGGCAGGAGGGGAGTCGGCGTGGTTGGGGGCCGGGTGTGTCGTCCGGGGTCCAGCGAGGAGGAGAAGCCACGTGTGACGCCGTCAGGGCGGGTGTGACGGAGGACGGCTCAGCCCGCGTCCAGCCCCCCTGCGGCCGGAGCTCCTGGTGAAACCCTGTGACACTCACCGTCCGTTCTGCAGAAGGGGCAGCTCCCCGGGCTGGTGGTTTTACATCAGAATCGGTTTTTTCAGAGACTCGTTTTCATGTGTGTTTTTTTTTTTTTTTTCGTTCTCTTACCGAATATTTGTTGGGCACCTACTTACTTCAGACGCCGTTCTACGCGTTCGTGCCCACAGGGCCACCTGCTTGTGCTGGTGAGGTCTGCAGGATGAGCCGAAACCACAGGACTTGGGGAAGCCAGCTCTTCCCGGCCGGGTGGGTGG